TTCTGTGTACTTGCATCCAAGTTCTCCAAAGCATGCTTAATCACTTTTTTTTTTAAAGGGGGAGGGAGCTGGCACACAGAAAGACGTGGACTACTTCAAGCAGCCAGAGGATTTCACCCTGGGAGCTAACCTTGAGTACACTACAGAGCACTGAGGAACACTAACTCAAATCACTTCCTAGCCACAAGTTTACATCCCCAAAGCACCTACTCTCAGGAACTTAAAACATTTTTATACAGAAGAACACAACTATAACAAACAGAACAGTCTCTCCACTGAATTATGGAGCTCCAGGCTTGAGATGGAAAACCACAAGTGTTTTGCCCCTTCTTGACCAACAGGCAAATCTTTTGCTTCAAAACACACAGTTGGTTTCCTACACTTTGCTTTTTGAAAACATCCTAAGATATAACATACTCCTGAGACCGGAAAAGTTAAACAAGGTAACGTTCCCCTTCTGTAGGGGATAGTGCATCAGTTTATTGGCGCTGGTATAGCGATATCAACATAATTATGTCACTTTACACCAACGTTTTTCTCAGCCTATTGACCAAAATCTTCCAAGCGTGTTTACAGACTATGCAGTTGGACTTGTCCAAGGCAGCCAGAAATGGAAAACTAGCAAACTGCAAGCAGCAAACATGACCCTCCGACAGAAGGCATCAAACAGCTACTAAAAGAGAGGTTTATGGGGCCACCGCTTTACAAGTTTTGACTGCATCTCATCCTGAATGCTGGAGGTTTGAGGCTTGCCTTTGCCACTTTACCCTGATGCTGCTTCCGTGACATGTACATGTCATGCTTCAAATTCGCACGCAGTTGCTCTCGCGATGTGTGCTAGCCAGCCTGGCAGGGTGCATGACGGAGTTAACCCCAATCACCATCACCGCGCTGCCAGGCCAGAGGAGATCACTGCTCCAGCACCGATGGGCACCCCCTGTGCAGGAAGGACAAAGCTACCTTACAATCATAGCATGTTTGCAGCACACAGCAGGGATGCCAGGAAGTTAGCTCTTTCCCAGTGAGCAATTCAGTCTTTCACAGCTTGAAACAGCAGCAGAGGTCCTACATGCCCCAAACAAGCCCAGCAGCAGCCACACCACGGATGCAGACTGCAAACGTCATTTTGCAGCACAGGCGTCACCACTTTAGCCAGGGCAAACCTCAACCACTGCTTAGGGCTAGGGGCATTGCCAGATGCTGCCGGATGCTGTGGACCGAGCGAGATCGGAGCAGGATAGCAGTTAGCCCCATGTGCTTGCAAGAAAGGCTGGCCACAAAGGGAACAACTGTCCCGCCGAGCCATGTGACCAGCACGCAGGGAGGGTAATTCCAGAAGGGAAGTAATGCAGACCGTGGCGTTTTCCATCAAAACCGTCTAGGACCTGGGCGAAGGCGCAGCAATCATGAAACAAATGAGGCAACAACTCTGTCATGTTCAGAGGGCGTTTTGATGACTCAGATTCCTCTCGCAGCCCCTCAGGAACACCCAAAACTTGGCCCATACAGATGGCAGCAGGGCTTTACCAGCTACCTGGGCCTTGCACTGCTGACACCTCAGAGAGGGCAAGAGTGGCATCGCCCTCCCGAGAGTCCCGCAGGGCAAGCAGGGCTCAGTGAGCAGATTAAGGGAAGGGGACAGGCTGTGGATGGGTGCCAGTCTGGCAAGGTGTACATATGCAGAGCTGGCATGTGTTCCTCAGGTCTTCCTTCACCATGCAGCTACCGTGCCCTCCCAACGCAGTTCACACCTTGGCCTGGGCGTCACTTGAGGAACAAGCAGACCAGTAGTTCACATTCACCCAGAACGGCCAAAAATAACGTCTCTTATCTCACTATTTAAACACGTCGTACAAGCCCATCAAATGTAACAGACAGAGAGAGAGAAGAGAAATAAATACTTGCCAAATGAGGTCCCCTCCTTGGGGACCCTCTCCCTTTTCATACTCTGTCTCTAATCCATGAGGAATTACACCTAGCTCCAGAAGTGCACAGCCACAAATGGCCCAAGTCCAGGTTGTGCACTAAAATTTGTAACAGGTAAAGCAACCTTGGAATATCAGAGAGAAAATGCTCGCTGCACTTGGTAGGACATAGAAGAATTCCTCGCCTGAAACAAGTCCATGGCAAAGACGCATCCCAAAGAACATGCCAATGTACTACCTCAAGGCTAAGGGAATTTGAATTTCCAACACAGAGAGAGTAGCATTTCAGTTCTTCGGCAAATTAAGTTATGTTGCATGGGCAGGCCACTTCAATACAAACAGCAGAGTTCACAGGTGCTAAGCCATCTTCTGCCCCCTTTCCATCCTCCCCATAAGGGACCACCAGCAATAACATTTGCTATAGTTCCTGCACCACTGGCAACCCTCACTTTTTTGTAACAGTAAACATTTTTTAAAAGCCCCACGCACCACAGAAGAGCAGTAGTTCTCCTGCAGTGTTTGACTTTTGTCAGCTCATCCTTTGAGACAGTCACTTTTACAAATGACCCATACAAGTACCATTCACATAAACAAGGAAGGAGTTGTTCCCTGAAAATACTTAGCGAAGTGACTGTTAATACAGGTTCTAGCATTCAAAATAAGAGCAGCTCTGGCACAGCTTACTACTGGCCAAACCTATTGCATCCTATCAGATGGCACATTCCTATTCAAAAACAAGTACATCAATTGTTATGTCAATATTACAACCAAAAAAATCAGAATGTGCGTGCATTAGTGCCATTTCCTCTGCTACTAGTCCCTATGCTGCAGCTTCACTACTCCCCCCCACCCCCTTCAGTAAACCAAGTAGAATTTTTCCAGTAAAATTGTGTAGTATGGGGAAAAAAAAACGCCTTTAGCAGCGCTGGGATATCTGCATTCAACTGCAGAAGCAGCAGGGGAACGAACAAGTTAACGTTAGAACAGTTAAATAAGCACAAGCCTAAATAGTTTGATTCCAGAAACAAGAGCAGGCCAGATCGTAATATTATTCCTCTATGCTGTTAAAAAAGAAAAAGAAAACAAATGGACAGTGCCACTACACAGAGGGGGGAAAAAAGAAATGGTATACTTTCAGTTGAGCTGGGCTCTCCAGTCACGTTTTCAGATGTAAAGATAACACAGGCACAGCTAAAGCATGTTAGAGCACCAAACCCATGCTGTAAAATGGAGCTCAGCTGCAGCAGGGTTTAAATTACTTTAAATTCTTTCCTACATGAAACTCCAGAAACCTTCAGGATTTGCTTGAAGGCACAATCTGACTTGGAAAAGTAGTAAAGAATTGGGGCTAGCATGCACATCTAATAAACCAGACTTCCTCCTAATCTTTCACTAATAATTCAAGTATTACTTAGTCTCCAAGGTTCAGCTGTGCAACCCCCTTATCCATCACTGGTTGGCACACCCAGACATTTCTCAAGGAACAACAGCCAACAACTAAAGAGCCACAAACATCATGCCAGACAACTGTAGCGGTGGTAATGGTAGGGGCACAGCAAGCAAGGCTGGCTCTCACATCCCTTTGGGCAAAAGCACCCAAGTTAAGAGTTTTCAGAAAGACTGTATGAACTCCTTGAGATTTCACATGAATAAAATGCTAGAGCAATTCAATTTTGAATATTTATACTTTAAGAAATGTTAGATATTAAACTTACAAATATATTTCCTGTTCTGTAGGTACCTCCTAGGCCTACAGCATCTCCTGAAAGCCTGACCTTGCCACCAGTGCCTCCAGAGGCCCCGAGGAGCTTCTGAGCCCTGCATATTCAGTTGTCACAGTACCGGACTTGCCACAAACATGTTGGTATACTGCTTTGGTCCTGTATAAGATTGCCTTTTCCCAGTCCTGATGAAAGACTAGATACGGGCCTTGAAATTTTGTCACTAGCTGGGAAGTTTTTGTTTGTATTCAGATAGGTTTTGAATACCACAGAGCAGGTGCATTTAAGTATCTGACAAATTGGCAGGTATTAAACTGCAGATCCCTAGCAAATCAAAAACATCACAAGGGAACCACTCAAATGTGACAGAAGTTTTTCTCAACAGCTGTTATTCCTCACCACATTTAATATGGACTGTGCATAATCTTGAAAGGGGAAAATAAAGCTGCTTTGAACTTCAGTTTAGTTTCTCTGCAGCAAGTTGCTCAATAGCACGAATTTTTGAAAAAGTGTTTAAAGTGTACTCAGTAATAATTTAATTCAGAATTTGCTTGGGAATTGTCTCCACATGTAGTAACTAACTATGAACTGAGTGGGACAAAGAAAGGGTACAACCGAACATAAGAACAACCAACCCTTAAGTTCTATGAATTTTTCTGGGACCAGTTCCTAGAAGATAGAGGAGTCGTCCCACAAAAACTTGCAGAACTGGAAACACACCAGCTACCTTCCCCCTGCCCCCCTTTCAACTTAACTGACCGTTCTTCACTGTGGTTATGATGTCTCTGCGTGAGATTGTGGGTCACTGCCCATGTTCGCTTTGTAGTTGAGAGGGTTGGGAAGCCCTAGGAGTAGTATTAGCCCATTCTCTTCACTGCAGCAAGAAGAGAAACCACACACCTCATTAGCGTTTCTCTGTGCACCTCCCGACTGCACAAAAGACAGTTTCTCTTCCCTTCCTACAGCATTAGCCTGCTTCATATCAGAAAATGCCAGTTCCCACTTCCCTCCAGGGAGAGGCAGTGTCATGCACAGCTGCTAAAATCAAAGTTGCAGCCTCACCCAGACACAATTATGGAGTTGGCAGGGAGAAGGAACACAGGTATTAAACACCTGTGGCGTCATAAAGAGGTATCTACAAAGAAAGGCAAAATAAAGTCCAACTATAGCTTCCTTCCCTCCCCATGAATTCTGCAAGCCACATCAAAAATAATTACAAATGGAAGAAAATGAAAGGAAAAACTTTCTCCTACCACTTACAATTAAAGTAGCAAGATATGTGACACCGCCTGCTAACAAATGGAAGCCCCCAAAGGGAGCAGAATTCACATTAATAAAGTCTCCAAATGAATAGTCCATATCCACAGTGATTTTAATAGTACAGCTTCTGAATCTTACACTGTCATAGCTGAAATAAAAAGACTGTAATTTCTTCATTAGCTACAAATATAAATTATACCTGGATTTTCTTTTTTGAGAATAAAAAAGTACCACGTATTCAATTTCCCAAAGTTAGGATCACAAGGAGAAAGACGACAGTCATGTGAAAGCGGTATACAGTACACAAACAGATCGTTTACATGCAACATTAAATGGCAAGTCACTAAAAATGGGACTCCTTCACGACTGTTCAAACAATTGTCATGACCAATCGTACTAACACGCACTGTGTCTTCAGAGCCCTTTGAAGCTGGCAACCCTTCTTCCGTAACTTCACTAGTTTTTAGTTTGCCAGAAGCCTTTCATGTTCAGAAGATTTGTTTTTCCTCATACACCGTATCAGTCCATTCATTCTTTGACTTTTCTGGTGAACTGTAAGCACTTCTTACTCTTCAGATTGCTACAGTGAACAGTCCCTCCCTCTTCCTACGTCGTGCAAGTTGTTCAGGCACAGCAACCAGATTTTGTCCTTTTTGCTGGTTTGTAATCAGTAATGTCTACAGTTTGCGGTGGTCCCTCAGCTTTCTGCCGTACAATTATTGGTACTACCATTTCAAAGACAGTTTCAAAGAGGTAGTCTACCTTATATCCTGTTTTTGCACTGGTCTCAAAGCACATTTTCTCAGCTGCTGGAACATCCTTCTCATCCAGCATTTTATATTTCAGTATCTTTTTATAGAGCGCAATTGCATCCTCTGCACGGACTTGTTTTCGCACTTTGGTAGAGCCACAGCTGGCAAGGGACTTTTCAGGTCTGTTTTCATCCTCTGTTTCAGGCGATAAAGCACAGTCATCGGTGAGGTCAACTTTATTTCCAACAATAGCAAAAATGCAGTCAGCACTCGCAGTGTCCGTCAGTGCCAAGAATCTGTCTTCCAGCTCCGTCAGGCTCTGGAGGCTGTTTACATCGTACGTGAGGATCACTGCAGCTGCTCCTCGGCAGTACATAGAGCCAAGGCCATGGAACTGCTCCCGTCCTGGCAAAGGTTTTTAAAAAAAAAAAAAAAAAAGATGAAGTTAGTGGAAAAAGCTGAGTTAACTGAGTAAAAGTTTAAAAATCTGTAAGCGAGTTGCACAATTTGGATGCAGCATTCAAGAGGAAAATGCGGTATTTACACCATCTTCAGTTTTTCTCTCTGGTTTGCCTTAACACTGCAACAGTGCCACAAAACAGCTAAGCTCACTGGATACTCGATTCTAGAGCAGGGAATCTGTAAAGATGAGCGACTGCGCAAGTGTGACAGCATTCACATTTGGGGGGGAAGCATGTTACTGCATTTATGCCGCATGAACAGCTACCCTGCTTGCAGCAACAGATGGCCCATTCCACCTAGCTAACCATTTACAAACAAGAATTGTTCCACTGTTTCAAACTCGGCTAGAATTTATTAGTTGTATAAATGCAGTACACAACTCATAAGTAAATCCAGTTCAGAAATCCTGGCTCAAAGTCAGCAAGCCCCTTCTTCCTAGGTTTTGAAGGATTTAGTAAGCAATTTATACTTAGAGTACACGCTCACAGTTCTCAGGTACATTGACTTTCCAGGAAAGGATTTCTTTTCTTTAATAATGCCAAATAGAACCTGCACTGTTATGTGTCTACCCCACCGTAAGTACTCATACTTTTTTAAGAATATTGAACACACTATATAGAACCCTAACTTCATTTTAACAGTAATTTATCTGTTCATGAAAACTGTCCTGACCATCACACAATCAAACATTTCCTCCTCCTCATCGCTCAGTGAATCTCCCAACAGCAATCTCACCAAAGCCTTGATGATCTCCTTAAAATTTCCTTATTGGAAGACAAAATTTACTCTTCTTAAAGCTCTCGGAAGGAAACAACGCTCCTCTGTATTTTCCAAGAGACCAGGGGAAATGAGGAAAGACAGAAGACAGAGAAACGGTAGTTCCCTCTCCTGTGGGGAACTGCAACTTGCTCCAAACATCTGCAATGTGAGAAATTTTGCTACAGCATGTTCACTTTAATTCCCAAAACCCAACTGAGAAAAGATTAAGCATACTGGATTTCAACTGGCCTTCAGAGTCAGCCTGAGTAGAATTGTGTATGAACAGAGAAAGAAAAAAAAGAGCCAAGACTGTGGCTTCCAAATAAGAAAGAGCGATGTGATCCCAGCTACACTCTTTTGAACATCTGAGCATCGTCATTATTCATCAGCTCTTTCATACAATCTCTTCACACAGGGCCTCCTAGGGCCTCCTCACACAGGGCACTTCTTTATGGAAGACCTAGAAGTGATCTGGTTACATTCATTTTTTGCACAAGTCTACTGACCACAAAGACTTACAGCATCACAAAATCCTTAAAAATGACTACGGGATAGGAAAGAGAGAAGAAACTCATGCTGAAAAATAGGGGGTTGTGTGTATTGGGAAAATAACACATCTGCCTATGAGCATACACACAATGACAACTAACTTGGAGCCTTATCTCCAGTCCGGAGATAAATAAATGTATATATACGTATGTATGTATGTTTGAGTCACTGTAGACAGTCTTTTGAAAAACCTCAGCATACTACTCAATTGTGGTCAGAAGAGACGGTGTTCATAGTTATTAGTAAAACAAAAAATGGAGAACTTTATGCCAGAGCACTGAATTCACAGCTGGCTTCATCTTGAACGCTGTGTGAAAGAAGAACATAGTGCAGAGTACAATATAAAGAGGTATAAAGTAAGGTGATGAGGATGCTCAGAAGTATGTAAAACTTTTGCACAAGGAAAAGATATCTAGCGCTAGTGTAAAGACTATTGAAAAAGAGCATAAACAGAAGTCTATAAATTCATATCTAGTACAGAGAAAGTAACCCAGAAACAACTCTTTACTCTTTCTTGTAACACAGAAAATTGGGATGCCATCAAAAAAAAATCATACATGGGGTTTAATTTTTTTTTCTACATAGTGAATAATTGGAGTGCAGCAACTAGTGTTACAGGATGCTGAGGAGGTCAAAAGTTCAGTGAACGGAGTTCAGAAAGGTAAAGATTATGGAGAATTGCATCTGTGCTATTTTATGTATATTCTGATTCGTCTTCCTCAAAGCAAAAGAAATTCTTTAACCAGTGATCTGGAAGGTAGGAAAAAGAATAAAACTAAACAACAAAAAAAGATATCCCCTGACTCTGGGTCATGGCAGACTGGGAAGTATGAGAAGGAGAAGATTGGTGCTTTTTACACTTTTTCTTAAGTCTAATATTCAAAGTTGTGCTTTCAGATGCACTGCTACTTAGTTTTTAAAAGTCTCCAATTTCTAAAAGTCAATTTCTGCCGTGACCTACTTTGTTTTCCTCAGAATTCTTTATTATATTTTGGTCTGGAAGCCACAATGGAACATATATTCTGCACAGTTCTCCCACTACAGATGCCTACGCCATAAAATCCAGCCCCCAAAATCATTTACTACAGCAACCGAGTATTAGAACAATACTAGTGCTTGTTTTATGGAATTTGTATGCTAATTTAATCAGTTCTCTTGCACAGCATAATACAAACCATGACACTCACAATCTACCTACAAACTGGCTACTTCTACAACTTATACATTGTCAGAAAGAAAAAAAAAACAGTAGGAAAAATTTGCCTTGCATAAGGGATTAATTATAGCAGAGGCGTTATGGATAGTCTCTCTTGCTCACCCACATGATTTATATAAGCATGCAGAAAAAAATGCATAATTTATTGTTAGCTGCACAGTCTCCTTGTGCAGACCACTTGTAGCACTTAAGGGCTGGAACAATCCTGAATGTGGAAAAAAAAGTCAAAACTATGCAAATAATTTAATATCTTTTTTTATCCTCCAAGGTGTCAGGCAAAAAAAATATGACATTACTGTGAAAACCATTACAAGAAGATAGCCATCCCCTTCTTATGGCCAGTTACTCCTTTTTCTAGAATCTGGTCCCATACCAACTACATGCCCTTTATACAGTTAGCTAAATTAAATGGTAAACCCTGAGTCCAAAGAATGAAACAATTCCACCCTTTCAAAAAGAAAAGTAACACGCAAGAGAGGCAAAACTATCTCAGATGAAGAGAATCGAATCACCCACAAAGACATAACATTAGGGAAGTTCTCAAAGCCAAGTGATGAAACCTAATTTCCATTTTCCTTTTCATTTCTGTATTATGCCTTATTTACAGCAGTTCCACACCTCTATGGCTGTACTGCTGCCTGCAACATTAGGCGTTCCCAAAGGCTCCCATTAGCTTCTCAAAGGCTCTTCCAGCAAGTATACGAAATCTTGTTAGAGACTTCACCCATCCCAGAGCAGGGCAGCCAACAGGTCTTTTCAAAATCCTATGATGGTTTCCATGAACAAACCAAAACATTTGGAGCCAAACGGACCTCAGCACTATAAGGTTCTGAAGAAATCCAAAGGAGAAAGAGGAGAAGAAGTAATCAACCCTGCACAAAGCATGTCTGATAAATCAGCAAGGCTCCTGTTAAAGTGTGTTAAGACTTATGGCTGTGGCTTTGGTCTGGGAAACCTCCTACAGCATCCATACCTCTCAGCTGCAAGGCTGTAACCCACGTGAACATTTTACCGCAATGGGAGCACAGCCTCGCCGAGGCTCCCCTGGCCATTTTCAGCTCCTGCAGTGTGGCTGCAGGATCCACTAGACAGTGGCGATGCCGAAATCACTGCCTTGACCAGCTTCTTGGAGCTCTCCTCCCACCCTCCGTCCTGGGGGGGGAGGGGGGGGAGGGGGAGGTATCCAAAGTAACCTATTAAGTTGCCATAATAGGCTGCCTGATGTTTAGAAGAACGAGAGATTTTCTTTGGCCAGATTTGAATCTGCTCTCTACCCACCACCTCTTCAAGGCTTTCACTGCACCTTAATAACCAACTTCCCCCCCACCCCACACACACAAACTTTCAAGAAATCCTCTACAGGAAGAGCAAGCTTGAAACCTCTCAATATTGAGAACATACATAATGCAAAACAGAGTCTTACTCTAAGTCTGGAGGGAATAAAACAACACAAATACTAAAGAGCTAAAAAGGTCTTCCAGAAAGTCCTGAAGAGGTGATGCTGTTATTCTGATGTTAAAGCTTGAAAGGGGAGCTAAATTCTGGGCTTCTAAAGTAATAGTGAGGAAAAGAGTCTTTCACTCTTTTCTTCAGAGTGAAAGAACCATGTTAATATTGGATTAAAAATGAACAGGAGTGCAGCAGAGTTGCCCAGAAAGTTCTAGAGACAGTTCATGTAACCAGGTATCTTCCACGGCTTTTCACTGTAATTTCAACAGGATTGTAATCTGAACAGGATTAGAGAAGAATTAACACAGACACAAGGTATCAGCTAGGCTCTTGCAGAGTCCGGATCTGAGCGTATACAAAGTGAGACAGGAACTACGCCCTCGAGAGATAGCCAAAACAGAAGGGAAAAAAAGAAGAATGACAAAAAAAGAAAAAAAGAAAAAATAATAAAGGGAGGAGAGAAAGTATGACACCACACAGTGAATAGCATTAAAAAGAAATTAAAGCTGAGGGTTCTGCTCCAGTGAGATGAAGGTTCAAAAGGGCGATGCGGGTGCTCATGGGTTACTTCAGTAGGAACATCCGGGTGAGCGCAAGAGCTGACTCAAAAGCAGCTCCTTTTTTAAGGGACAGCATTTCCCTTCAATTGCAGACAGAGCAGTAAAGCTACAACCCTTTAAAAGACATAAGGGGAAACAAGTTGGCTACGGACAGAGATTTCTGTTTGTGCAAGCAGACTAAGTTATCCACTGACTATCAAAGAACAAACAGTAAAAGTCCTTGAAGGTTTCAGGAAAATTCCCCTGCCCACAGGTGAGTCTGGCTGTATAGCTCTGCCCCAGTGAAGTCAGACTACTTCACTGCTTATTCAAGACTGGTATCTGTTCCTTCTAGAAGGCTTTATCCCACTTCCCTTGAAGTCAGGCACTTTATTAAGAACTGACCTCTGCCTGGGGTCACTTGGGGATAAAAATAAAGCTCTCCACCCCAAAGGATTAAAATGGAGGGCATATGCAGAAATTACTGGAAAGAAATGAGTCAGAGAACACTGAGCACTCAATTTTTACGAACCCAGAAGCTGTTTGAACGCATGATTTCCTGATCCATAAGAAATGCCAACATTTGTTTTTGCTCCAAGGCAAAATTTCCATAGAATAAAAGTCTTTAGAAGAAAAAAAAAAAGCCAACAAAACACTGAGCAACTAGAAAATGCATTTAAACTCCACCCTTGCCTTCCCTCAATATTGTACATTCACAATGTTACATTATAAAATACATTTGTGTACAACGATGTTTCAGAATGCAACAGACCTCTGGCTCTACTAAAAATCAAATGAGATCTTTATTTTGTTTATAGTCATTACTCAGAGATGAATCATCATTCCAGGTGAGGACTGTGCCACGTTTCATGAGTTTCTATTGAAGTTATAGTATGGATGCCTTGGCAAAAGCAGAATGTAACATAAACATAGGAAAGTACTGATCTTATTACCCAAAGGGCTTCACTTTCAACTTGTGAATTAGAAAGAGCTACACATGGAAGAACAACACCACCGCCACCACACCTGTTAAGCCAACAAAGAACAAAGGAAAACTCTTCAGTACAGTATCTCTCTGAAGAAAAACCATTAAAAAGAGGCACGAAAGTGGCCTCAAGGTAACAGGATTCAGGTAAGCCTATTCTATTTCCAAATGCAGCTTGCACTCAATTTCTAAGGTAAGAATCTCCATCTAATCTTAAAAGATTTAAATGGCAAAAGAGATTACCTCTTCCCTTAGTCTGAAATCTATGTATTTTTGACTTAAAGAACAAATACTTTGAGTTCTGAAGGAGATCGAGACTCCCAAGTCCCTTTAAACTTTCCTGCTCCACAGACGTGCATTATTTTAGGCTTGTAAAGTTCTCTTGCTGTAAACATCAGCTCAGAGCGACTGACCTCTCACTTAGCTAAGACAGGAAATTGTGATCAAACTGAGCACCATCCTTCAGTCAGCTGTAATTGTCACACTAGAAATGGCACAAATCCATACCACATCTCATCAGCCAATATTTTATTTGGACACAAAAAGCCAAGACTAGAAAGACTAGAATTTATCTAATGCATAACGTTTAGGTATGAATTACTTACATACAGCCAGATCTGAGGGTTAAAAAAAAAAGAAAAAAAAAAAGGAGAATATTCCAAAACACATTTAGAATAAAATAGAAATTAACACAACTTCAGTCTGTAAAGCATTTTTCTTTCCACTCTAATTTAAAACATAAAAAGCATGCAAAAGCACCGCCATGGTGCGGCTATGTTCCTTCCCTTCACGAAGGCACACACACTCCTTATTATAAAGGATACTTGGTATCTTACGTCCAAAGTTACTAAGCTCCAAGCCTGACAGCTTTTAGTAATTTATACCGCTGCTTTTATCTACACGAAGGAACTACACTGAACCAGTTATTCTCCTCCCCTAAACGCCAACCTTCAGGAAGGACATTTGTTTCAAGTGGTACGAATATCTTCACATAAAAAGAGAACGCAATATTCAAATGCGGACAAGTCTCAAATTGCAATGAACAAGCAATATATTTGAACTATCTGTCACAGACAAGAAAGCCTTACTAACCATAAATGGCTAAGCAGGAGATACTTTCTAATATGTTCAATGCAAGAACATTTGAATTACTAGCTGGTCTCAAGAAAAAAGTTCAGTGCACCACTACAAAGGAGGATTGTTATGTTATTTTCCTGATCTGGAAGTGGCATTATGACATATTGGTATAATCTAGTCTCCATGGAAGCCACATGTAGAAATCCTGTACAACATACTAGTACCTACAAAACAGAATTCTACCAAATATTCAAACCAAATAGATCTGTTCAACTGAACACAAAGAGCCTGATAATTTACTCAAGAAAACGCAACTGGTTAAATAATTGAGGCCAAAGAATGGTTTTGATAAAATATGAAATGCTTTTGGGATTATAGTCCCACATTTATGAGATATGCTATGACAGTATGGCTCTATCCCAAAAGATCAAGTTGCACCCGTCTGTGTAAATAAAGGTATTAAAAAGACACTTTTGAGATGTCTGCTAAACTAGCATTAGTGATCCAGCACTGTCTGGGGTACATAACATACATAAATTTGTTATTAGGAAACCTAAGTTTTGACAGGAATTGGAAAGAGGAAAAATATACAGTGAAGACTAACTGAATCCCCTCTTGAAAGGGCTAATTCTTAAATGCAATTAAAAAAAGTAAGCCATAAATCTAATCAACTATTTATATAACCATTTTCCCCCTGCAAGTTATGCCAACACATTTAACAGATACTCATATATGCTCCATGGAATAAGAGGAGAAGCTATAATAGAATTTGTAAAAAGATGGAATTATTAGCTTTACCAAACATCAAGGCCTATTACTGGGCCTTTTATCTTCAATGTAATATGCAAAGGAAAAAAAACAAACAAACTTGTCCTTTATTTCCATTCCTTTAAGTAAAAAAATAAAATCCTTTCAAGCATCTATATAAGCTATTACATTCTGCCAACAGAAGACTAGTGCCTGGAAGGCTAGTCCACACCAGGAACTACCAGCTTGAAAAAAAGCAAGTCATTCTTACTTCTCCTGCTTTAGTTTTGGCAGTAAGAACTCAGATCACATACTTCTATCCCCTATTTCGTTTCACAGAACACAAATGTGGAAACAGATACAGAAAGCAAGACTTAATCTTTTTTTTATAACCTACTCTTTCTGAAACTAACTATAGGAAAAAAAAAAAAGCACATAATCTAAGTTCTGCTCATTTTGCTTATTCTAATACAAAGACAGCATATGAATTCATTTTTTTTTCTTTCCGCGTTGCAATTGCCACCAGTAATGACTGGGAAAGGAATCAATTCAGAATCTTTACAAAAAGAGAAACACTGCAAGATGGGTATGTTGGAAAGTATCCGAAATAAAGAAAAAGGGGACATCTATTTACTGGAATTAGAAATTTCAGTACTCTCTATACCTAACAATATTAATACATTTAACAAAATAAGCTATATCCAAATTTCTTATGCCTGCTTCACCCTCCTCCCCTAAAAATATAATAGCTAAACTATAAATAACTGATACGTCATAAATAAGGTTTGCAGGACATGTTTCAGCAGAGGCCATCAAATTAGAAGTAGGTAAAGGATTTTGTCCTAAAATTAGAGGCACTTCACCTATCTTTTAAAACAAGAGCCACCCCTTAAATAAGACTAATAATTTTTCTAATAAAGCTCTATTTCTTTAGAGATTCAAGTTTATTCCTAGTTTCAGCCTTTTCCAAAAAAGAAAGCCACATAAACAGCAAACCGAAATAAACAACAGCAGCAGCTGTTACTAGATTTGCTTCTCTTTTTATGGTTTTCCCTCAGTAAAAAGTGCTCACAATTGTATTTTAGCTTTGTTTGCTTTTTTGCTAATTACACCCAGAGCAATTATTGCACAACCCTTTCAAGACAGACTGGGAAAATAACTACGTGTGTGTCCCCATACAGCATTCCCTCGTCAAGCTTGCGACTGCACA